AACTTCTAGGTCTAGTCTTATGTACATTTTCATAGGTGTGTTATTGGATCCATAAGCTAACACCAATAACTTAAAATTTCGGCATAACTTGCATGTATTCTACAAACTGAGGCACACACAGCCAAAGACATTCAGCGTATGAAAAGAATACTTCGTTTGTTGAGTTTTACTTACGAAGTTGACAGAAAAGGTACCTGGCAAAAAGAGGGTTCGAAGCGAGCCATCACTCAAACGGGCCGAAGGCCCGTTTTCGGATAGAAGACGTATTACACCATAAAAATTCAGAAGGGACAGGCCCGTCCCAAACGCCGCCGGCAGGCCAAGCTGGGCCCGCTCCCTGCCGAACCGAGTTGCCGGTGGAGCGAAGCGGAGCTGGCAACTTGGATTGGCGGAAGAGCGGGCCCAGCTTGTTTTAACCACAGCAATCGTGATAACCCGTTTTGAAGTTGGCGAAGTTTCTGAAACATGTAAAAGCACTTGTTTTCAGCACAGCAAAATTTTGAAGAAGGCTGGAATTTGAATGCTGGTTCTAGCATTATTTGTGTCTTTTGTTGGGTGAATTTATCTATTTGTTTGTCCCTGTCTGTACCCGAAGGTTTAAGTATCCCGTTTTGATAAAAGGTTGCCGTTGCCGATATTGACGATTAACGTTCCAGTTTTGATCAGGAGATTTTCAGTCTTATTTTCATACCTTATTGAATTTAAAGATACAAGCCTTAGCGCCTGTATATTTTGAATTTTCTTTTGGAGCTGGACTGTCTTGTTTCCGGCCGGCAGGCCAGTTTTTTGTTAGCCCGCCCTTCTGCTTTGAAAAAGCTATCCAGCGGGCTTATGCAAACGACCTCGTGTCTGTGTGTCTGTGTGTCTGTCTGTGTGTCTGTCTGTTCCACTAGAAGGAGATGTGCTAGTTTTTCTTAGTTCCGGGTAGCGCTCCATTGAAATACCCTATCCTTGACGATTTCAAGAGCACAACAGTATGAGTGGGAAAGTTAGAGTTCTAAAACTTAAACATTAATTTACAGGAGAACTTCGAATACGTATTGATTGTCCAGCCATGCATTGCGATGGATGCAGGCTGCATTTTGATGAGGCCGAGCGACGACCCAAGGTCATGTCATGCGGACACACCTTGTGCATTGCATGTCTTTCTGCCCGGAAAATGTGCGACATTCACAAACAGGTAAGGTCAACGTCACCTAGGCTTTGTCTGCATCTACATATATTGAACTTATTTTAGGCTCAGGCCGCGGGCCCGCCACTCGGCTTTGGAAAAACTACAGTCCATCTGACGGGGGGGGGGGGGGGGGGGGTGATCTCCCGTGCCCCCTACCGCGCCAACCTATTCAGCGGGATCATGCACATGACACGACGTGTTATAATTACTTTGTTTGACTGTTGGTCTGCCGCAAAATTATTTTGTTCACTTTTACGGATGTACACTCTCAGCCCGTTACTGACATTTTGCAAATACACTATGAACTCGCTTATACAGCAGTAATACTCGCAAAATTGCATGTAATACTCACAAATTTAGTAAGTAATACTAATTATTTTGTTAACAAGTACTTAGGATGATCTCCCTTAAGTAGTTCCTAAAAAAATAATTAGTAATACTTACTAAATGTGTGAGTATTACGTGCAATTTTGTGTGTATTACTGCTGTATAAGCGAGTTCATTGTGTACTTGCAACATGTCAGTAACGGGGTGAGAGCGTAGACACTAGAAAGACATATTGTTCCTAGTTTTCACAAATGAAAAAAGCTGCCTTTTATTTGAAGTTTACTAAAGACATGAGAACTTCCTTAATATCCGGAAGTGTAGGCAATTCAGTTTTTCTGATTAAAATAGTTTTCTATGATTTGCAGGATATACTGGACGTTAATGGTCTCCCGGATAACTTCTACATCATCAGTCTCCTAAAAGGCAACCGGGCAGACAAGCAGAAACGCAGGTATAGCTACACGACTGTACATTCTCAGCCTGTCACTGACATTTTGCAAATAGACAATAAACTGGCTTATACAGCAGTACTACTACGACAAAATTGCTGGTAATACTCACAAATTGAGTAAGTAATACAATTTTTTTTCTTAGGAACTACTTAGGAAGGTTATTTTTGGCTGAGCGATTAGCGAAGCCCATTACTCCAGTGACCGGAAAAGTTTCATTCTGTTTGTCTGTCTGTCTGTCTGTCTGTGCGCACGATAACTCGAGAAAGAATTGAGA